TGAAAATTTATAAGACATTAGACATGCAAAAAGATAGAGAACTTCTGCAAGAATGTACGAGAAAGATAATCTCAAATTTTAGAGTTAACCTTAAATGTGCTTTTAGGAGCCCTCATTAGAAATTTTCAAGCAACAAAACTCTCACAGCATTCAGTGGACAAGTTTAGAATTCAATTTTTTAACATCATTTCATAACTTTGTGGGAGCACCACAAACACTGACTAATCTATATACACATCATCACAACTACGACCTAGAAATGAAGCCCCATATAAAAAAGATTTGAAAATCAAGAGGATTCAATGAAGTGTGTAATGTAGCAGAGCATGCCAACTAACATAAGGATAAACTAAATGTATATACACATCAACACAACTAAGACCTAGAAATGAAGCCCCATATAAAAAAGATTTGAAAATCACGAGAATTCAATGAGGTGCGTAATATAGCAGCATGCCAAATAACATAAGGATAAACTAAATGTATATATATATATATCATCAAAACAAACGTGACCGACTGCAAATTTTCTAAAACACGAAACAAAAAGCCTTTGGTCACAAGGTCGGGAAAATAATCCAAGCACCTAACCATAAGAGTAGATTATTTACTTCTTTGGTAAACTATTAAGAAAAATATCCAAAAGCCTACAAGCACATATGTTTGTGGTATGGGGATCTAAGCAAGTACCAGATGCCTTGAATGGACCTCAATTTGAAATTGAATTATTCAACAACCGGCATAAGCTTACTATTCTTTTTGACCTATACATTCTAAAAGAAATATTCACACACATATAGAGCTGAAACAAGCCAAACATGTTGGTGAACTACTTGAATTTGGCTTGCTCAAAGACCAATTCAAGTTTGGTTAAAACCGAGCTCAAGATGTACTCAGGCCCAAAAGAAAAAAAATCGTTTACCTAAACAAGCCAAACTCGAGCCTTAAGCTATATGGTTCAAAAGCTTGAAAATGCATCATTTATCTATCAATAAATTAAATACCAAATATACCTTATCAAAATGAGTTTATTTCAAAAAAAAATTAAAATCAATACATATAATATATTTTTGAAACTTGTTAATATTTTACATTAGCATTGTAAGATTTAACTACAGATCAATACAGAACAAGCTTATTCAAGCTCGAGCCATTCAATCTCAACTCTTTACCGAGCTTTTCTCAAGGTGACCAAACTCAATGTTTCTTTAAATTAGTTGTGCTCAAAGCTCAAATAAAGTTCCAACATAGTTTCAACTTAAACAAGGGCTTCACAATATTTTAAAAAATCAAACTCAAATATTTAAGTATATGGATTGGCTCATTGCCATGTTACATGTACATACATGTATACGTGTGTGTTTACCAATTCTAGTCAACAATCTTATTAGAAACTTTAAGAGCTAAATGTTGAATGTATTCCTAAAAATGAATAGAACTTAAAACCAAACTACAAGGAAAGAAACATAAAATATATATCTATCTTAAGCAACAATCTTATTGGAAACTTTAAGAGCTACATGTTGGTACTGGATCTCTAGAAATGGATAGTATAAAAACCAAACTACCAGGAGACAGTAATAGAATTCTATGCTTGCAGGTTAAGATCTAGATAAGTATAACCCATTACAAGAATTAGAAGAGGGGGGCAAGACCAATATCTGCATTTAAACAAATAAAACATTTTACTAGACACTAAAACCATTTACCATCATGGCATGTGATAAGAATACGAGAGAAATTGTATCAACCAGCTGAAAAAAAAATTCTATATCTGTAATTTAAACAAGTCAGTTA